TGCTTTGTTTTTCTGCAAGGTGCTTTGCAAAGTTATTTCACAGGTGGTAACTCCTCTCTGAAGGAAGAAAGATCCACGCTGCTGTTGGTATGAGGCACTGTGGGAAATAACAAATTCTTTGTAGAATAGAAAGGTAAAAATTATGGTGGTTTTGCACGTCTGTGATCCCATGGTGTATTTCCAACTGTGTTTAGCTCTTGTTGCCTTGCAAATTTTCATTTGATTTATTGCCTCCAGCTTGCTTAAAGTTCCCTCTGAGTTTCAACTGATATAATGCTTTCTCCTTCCTCCCCTAAATGCTTTGTGTTGCTGCTGCATGTTGTCATGTAATACCTCAGATGAGTATCATCGCAAATTATGAAATGTTGGCAACATTTGTCAGTAGGACATGGAAGCTGCCCTTGAATGGGTGTTTTCAAACAAACTGAAAATGTACGAAATTTAAAGATAAAATCATAATGGGGCCAGACCATTGGTTAATGTAAATCTGCTTATAATTGCTGACGTAAATGGGAAAGTGCTGATTTACATCAGCTGAGAATGTGGCTGGTGAAATTAAAAGAAAATAAAGAGTTTAGGGGGCTAGTGATGCTGGTCTCTTAATGTAAGCACAAACTTTCACCCAAGACCACATCATTGTTAATATGTAACTCTGCAGTGCCAGAGGGGTCAGGCTATTCCAGACACTGCAACATTGTGGTACCTCCTACAAACGAAATAGGAGCAGAACCATGTATTCTTTAATTAAATTCTGGATCAGGTCTTCCGCTGGGGTGGTTTGGCATAACTCCATATACTTCAAAGGAACTAGATTGATTTCCAGTGGCTGAGCACTTGGTCTTTTATTAATGTATACTTCTGTTTATTGAAATTATGTGGCTTGCTTTTTGTAACCATAAATAGTTTAACATTGGTCAGGCAGAACTTGTTCTAAACTCTATGAGATAGTAACTTGAAGACTAACAAAACTAACAATCAGGTTAATTAGAAGAATGGTGTATAGGATGGTTGGTTGGTTGGTTTGTTTGTTTCTCTTTTTTTTTAAACCACTGCAGTATAGATCTAGCCAAACTGTTTTTTAAAAGAGTGGCTTCAGAGCAGGCTAGGGTAGCTTGTGCTGAGTGTTTGCACTGCTGTACTTGGTAAGCTTGATATACTATGCTGTAGCCAGAATATACATTGGGCATCTGTAAGAGTTATCTCTTGTGCATTGTGGAATACTATATTTTACTATATTGTAGTTGCTTACATGTCTGCATGCTTGCCACCTTCAAAATTAAAGGCGTTGTATACAGCTCATTTGCAGCACCCCTGTGCAGGCACTTCCCTTTGTTTGCTTTTTAAAATTTTCTTATAATTTATAGATTTATTTTCTCCTTTCCCCTCTCTTCTTTGCAGCATCAGAGTGTCCCCGTGTCCTGGATGAATATAAAGAGTTTATCTTTCTTTTGGCACCTGAAGTAGATTAGGTGTAAAAAGTGCCTTCAGGAGGCAAGGAGTCCTAAAGACGTTAGTTATGGCTCCTCTTCCAGACAGACAGCAATAGCTTAAACATCTGCCTAAGAGCATGTGGGACCCCAAGAAAAGATGCAGTACGCTTGCCCCCACTGTTCATGTCAGGTGTGGCAAAGACTCTTCAGAGAGTTCTGTGCCACCGTGGCCCAGCATCTGCTTAATTTAGTCTGGGCTACTCTGTTCCAAGTGCCCAGAAACTGAGGTCTTGTCTATGCACTGTGCTAAATACTTGTGGGTGTTCTAATAGTGTCATAGTCATCTTAGTGTTTCCATGCACTGATTTTTGTGGTGTTACATTAGCAAATGTAATATTGCACTAACATATTCTTTACACCTTTTAATACAGGAGGTACATTAGATTTAAACGCACTTAGCAAAACAATGCAAGATTGTATTTTGTTCTGGTTTAGGCCATGTTTAGGTAGAAAAGACAAATATTAAGTTTCTGCCCAAGCTGGTCCCATCTTACAGTCCCCTGCAGTTTGCTTGTTTAAGAACAGACTGACTTGTTAGGCCACAGAAGGCTGCCAGAAATATTAATGACTCTTTGAGAGAGTAACCCAAAAGACAGACTTGCAAGCTGATGCCACAGTATCTATTATTGGCAGAAATACAATCCTTCGAATAATAAATGAGCTAACATCTGTCAGGTTGCTTGTTTTCTCAGGGGCCTGGTGATTGGGCTGCATGCAATAACATGATGGCTTCTGAGGAGCCTACATCAAAATTAATGGTTTCATCAGCCTGCAGGAACAACTAAATAATTGGGCACACCTGGGACTATCCTAAAGGGCTCCTTTATGCTTAGCGAATGCTTTCTAACTAGTTCCAGTAAAGTGTGGATCATTGAAACCTGAGTGTTGCAGACTGGATCAGAGAACTTAGTTTGATGGACTGTTTGGAGTGTGTGAGAGCTTGAGCGTATGCTCAAGTGAGTAGCAATTTTTAGAAAAAGTGATATAAGGCTTTACTAGTTATATATTGAATACTTCATAGGGGATTAGCCTGGCAACCTAGCAGCTATGCAGAAAGGTGTAAGAGCAGTCTAAGTTAAGTCATTCCCATTTTGAATGCAACCTGTGTTTGGAGCCTACGTATTAGGACCTGATGCTATAGAAGTAAATCAGTATTGCCTCAGCCTTCAGTAGCGTACTCTTTAGAAAGTTACCTTATTTGTTCTGTATTCTGAAGCTCTCTATTAGATTGCTTACATTGGGCAAATAAGCCTTAATGATTGATGCAGCAATAGAAATGTTTTCAGATGTTGCAGTTTAAGGTGTGTTTTCTTTTTCTTCCTAGAGACTCAGTAAAATTTCATCTCAAATTTTGGTAACATAAACGACCAGTTATGCTCTGAAAAATGTGCTTTAAATGTTTCTGTGAGAATGGCTGAGCTCCTAAATTATTTGGCAGTCTCCAAAAATTTCTTTGCCTCCCCTAATGAGCTATATGATAACAACCTCTTACTCTCTTTCCAAGCCTGTAGTAGTATGTGTGAATCTTCCACCTGATTCAGAGCACACTGGAATTAACAGCAAGTCTGTGAACTGCAATTACCTCAGTCATTAAGACATAGCTTATGTACAGTCTAGTGCAAAATTTCTCATCATATGAGGCCAAGACAAACATGTATCTACGAAATAGACCTTAAGGAGTAAATACACTGCCCAGTAAATTTCTTGCACAAAGAGAAGATCCCCAGCCATTCCAGAAGCCTGTTTCCTAGCCTGGTCCACAAGCATTGCTGTCACAATACGGCAATAACATGTTTCTTGCTGTCTCTCCTCTTGTGGAAGTCTCTGGCCAAAATATCCCTTTGCACTGAGCTTCAGATCATCATGCCCCTACTGCTGCTGATTGCTTCTGTTTAGTCACTGTGCTGTGCAAAGGCTAATTCTGCCTTCCTCCATCCACGACCAGCGTAGGCTTTCATGTCCTCTGAGTCTCTCAGAAACGGAATATTGGGAGGGCTACACTGCTCACAAGGGCCTTTGAGAAAGGCGAGAGCTGAAGAGAGTTGAATTCAGAATAGATACGCTTCTTTTTTAGCAGTCATTGAGAACAGATATTGTTCAACAGATTTACCTGTTGCTGTCTTTCACTTGAAGTGATTGTACATCAGGGAATGCTGGTTTTGCTTTTGTTTTGTTTTTGCTTTTTCCCTAAGTGAGCTATTTTAGCTCCAGAATTTATGTGCTTGGTGCAGAATTTGCTGTGTGAGGTTCTTTGGGTTACGTGGGAAGTCAGATTTGACTATTTTAATAATTGGTTTTAGCCAGTTTGAAATATCTAGTAGGTTGAGCGCCCCTCTTGCTTTTTTCATTATATACAAAATAAAGATCTGGAAAGCAGTTCTGTCAGTACTGAATGCATTTGTGTGAAAATCCATGCAAAGGCTTAAAGCACTGGAGCCCAGACCATTTTCCATAAATTAAATGAGAAGTATTGGTTAAGTTAGCACAAAGTGTGATAAAGCTGCAACACATCACATCATTAGACTGCTTTACATAGTGACTGGAACATTGCCAGTTTAAATAAACTTTGTACATCTATTTGAAAGTATATCTCTGTGCATGCTGGCTATTTAATCCTTTAAGCTTTTATAGTGTTTTTCAGAAATGTAGCCAACTTGTTAATGCATATACTGTGACTTTTGAATGTTTGTTCAGGTTTGACACCTTATTTTGATTTGCTAATTACAGAGAATTAAAAAAAAATCTTCCTAATGATTTTGGAGTTTGGTTTTATCCCTTTTTTTTTAATTTGAAAGTGTGTTTATAAATGCAATAGGGAATCCTAGCTAGGCAATATTGCGTAACTTTCTGTTCAGTATAATGGCATTACTGCTGAGCCACCTGATTGATCTCAATGCAGTGTCTGTTTAAAAGAGTACAGGGAATAATGCTGGGAATTAAGTAGCCTATGTTTTATTCTGAGAGCTAAAAATCTGCAGTTCACCTCACTTGTGAGTCATTGCCCTAAAATGAGGATAGTATTCAGCAACCTTTATAAATCACTGATGGATTTGAATGTAAAGACCTGCACGAGAGCAAAAGAACTTATTACGTAATAGCAGAGAGACCTACAGATGGCATTTATTGTTAGAGAAGATGGTTTAATTGCCTGGGCCATGGTTATGAGCAGTAAGGACTAAGAAAGCAAGAACAGCATTTGGGAGTGTTGCTTTGTGTCTCTAGGAACAATGGCTGAGAAGTCACCAAAGATGTCCATACAATTCTGACCTCTCAGGGGAAACCATACGTTGTGCCATACTGCACTGTGGTATACTATGCTGTGGTTGTTATTCAACATGTATATGAACCTGCAGCAGTAATTACGTATGGTCTATAGAAGGTGAAGCTGGAATGGAATAAAATGCATGTTTTAAAAACAGGAATTTCTTTCTGCAGATACACTGTCCCCCTTGCTGGTGGTGGTCAGGGCAAACTCTTTAAAAAAAATTCTAAGTCTTTTTGTCCTTGTAGGTCAAGCCAGTTACTCACAGTAGAATCACTGTCTCAGCACGGTTTCGAAAACCACTCCAGGAGCCCTACACTATTTTGTAAGTAGAATTTTCAGTTAGTGAACTGCCATTTTGAGGGGGGTGCGGTGTCTTAACTTCAGATGAGTTTTGCTTAAAATGCTCCTCCAAATTATTTTACTTTTCTTTATTCCAGCCTGATTGCTAACGGAGACCTTATTAGCCCTGTAGTGCGCCTCCTCATTCCCAGGAAAACACTGAATCACTGGGATCATATTCTTGAAATGGTTACAGGAAAAGTTACCCTCAGAAGTGGAGCTGTTCACAGGTATTAGGAAGCTGAATATTTGCAAGATACCTTTGATATGTGTAGATATGTTTTTAAAACTCCATAGGTAGATATAATGGATCATTCC